ATACTTATAATCATCTCAGTTGGTAAAGAATATCACCACCTGTTTTCTATAGATGATGCAACTAAGGTTTACATTGACTTAATAGCATGTTCAATAATATAGAACTTGGGATTCTAGTCCAAGTGTTTGAGTCTAGACTTTATCAGTTCAATGACTGTGGGCTACAATTATAGTTTGGATCTGGATTTTACTCTAAAAGCTCATGTATTGAAGGTTCAGAGGTGGGGTTTTTAGGTAGTAGTTGGATCAAGAGAGCTCTGACCTCCTCAGTGGATTGGCTAGCTGGATAGCTGGATGAACTATTGGGAGGTAGGACCACGTTGGAGGAAGTAGATCACTGGGAATGTGCCTTGGAGGGATATACCTTCTCCCCAGCCCCTTTCTCTCTTTCTCTCTGCTTCCCAGCTGCCATGCACTGAGCAATTTTTCCTCTGCCTTGCCCTGCCACTATGATGTTTCTGCCAGCCAGATAATGATGGACAAATCCTCTGAAACACTGAGCCCAAATAAATTTTCTTCCTTTAAGTTATGTCAGGTATTTTGGTCACATCCATGAAAAACTGACTAATACAGCTCCCAATCTTAACATTAAGGCTACAAAGATAGAGTTGCAGAAGTATAGATTGGTCAGGGAAGGACTTCTTGGAGTCGTTTATCCCAGGTAAATAGATTAGAGAGAGGGTTAAAAAAGGGCAAGTGTGCTAGTCAGCTTTGCATTGATATAACCAAAATACTGACAAGAACAACTTAAGAGGAGGGAAGTTCATTTTGGTCCGTAGCTTCAGAGTTTTAGTCTATGGTTAGCCAAATCCATCACTCTGGACCCAAGGTGAGGCAGAACATTATGAAAAAGAGCATAGTGGAGGAGTATTGCTCACCACATGGTGTCTGGGAAGCAGAAAGAACAAGGGGAAGAGCCTATAGGGAAGATGAAACCTTTAGGGCACACCCCCTGAAATGACCTACCTCCTTCAATCACACTTCACCTACCTACAGTTTACTACCAAGTTGATCTATTCAAATTAGAATGGACTGATTAGACTGCAGTTCTTCTCATCTAATCATTTCACTTCTGAATATTCCTGAATTAACACAGGAACTTTTGGGGAACACCATATATCCAAGCCTTAACAGCAAGGTTAATACTTAATTTACAATTGGGTTTCTAACTATCTCTTCCATATTCAACTTGCAGAAAGTTTGGTTCCCTAAAGTGTGTTAGACATATATGAGTGCCTCAAGGGATAGGACAGACTCCAGAGGAAAAGGGAGAAATTGTTCTGAAATCCTGGGTGTTGGTATTCAAACAGAAGTGCTTTGGGAATCTAAAGTTGATTGGCTTGTGGTTGTGCAGCTGCTTTGTGATACTCAGAACCAGAAGAAATATTTAAATCAATCTTTTTAATATACTTATCATGAGGAATGAGTTGTGTGTAGTGAATGGCACAAATGCAACCACAACCACAAGTCAAATGGATTAAAAAGCACCTCTGAGTATGAAGGTGGTATCTCATAATTAGATTGAGTTCAGTCATTAATATTCAAGGTGGAAATTCCAATATCCAAATATGTCTGGCAATATTTCACTTCAAAGGTTTTGGTCAATAAATGTTTTTGTGGTGTATTCAGGGTTCCCAAGACAACAACTTCTGTCATGGGATGTCTGCCACCCATAGAAGAAGGGAAGAAAAGAACCTGGGCTTTACATATTGCCATTAAGTTGGCCAAGCAAGGATATGCATAACAAACTGCTCTGTGAATGGTCAGAGCACTAAATGAAGTTGCTTGTTGAATATAGGCAACTTCATAAAAAATGGTCTCAATCTTCAAGTTGATAAAATTTATTTTAATAATCTTGGGGCACTGAATAGTAGGGAATTTGAACATTGAGGCCAATGTTATCTGCTTGCACATAGTTGAGTCTTTGAAGATGTCCTAGTCTCAGAGAAACAACCATTTTGAGACTTAGCCTATATACTTCAAACTTCTTTGCCTAACAGGCTGTCAGAATTAATCTCTCAACAGGTCTGGGGCAGTAAGGTATGGTGACATTGATTTTCCACTAGGAAGATAAGAGTCAGGAGAAAAGCAGTGACAACTTTTAAGCTTAATAGCCAGTCGCATAGGGAAGAAACATTGCAAATAATGGGTTTAAGGGCCTGAAAAACATCTGAGCTTCTATATAGACACATCCAGACCTTAGTAGAATGGCCAAAAAAGTAACTTTGTGAATGGTAGATGAAAGTAAGTATCAGGATGATCATCTACATGGAATAAAGGGAGAGGTAATTTAAGGGTTCTTCTGACCAAAATATAGTTCCTGATACTACCTGCTAAAGTTAGTGTTGGAGTGGCCTCTTAGGATCTGTATGTTTTAATGAAAACACATAGATATAAAGAACTTTTAATGCACTGCATTAAAGTATTATCTTGCTGGTGGATAGTTAACCAATTAGTGAAGATTTATTTTTATATGATTAGTCCATTAGCACCAATTTTTACCATCTACAGTCAGAGGTTCTGGAGAGACATGATCCAGGACTGGAAAGGTTTAGAAATAAAAACAATTTCTGTGCTGGATGACTGCTATATATAGTGCTGCCCAACAAGATATAATGAATAAATCCTGCAAGCCTCTAGGTTCTGGCTGCTCTGATGATAATTAGTATTATCACCATATTGCAGAGTAGGAAATTGAGACCTAAGGAAGTTAAGCAAATTTTCTCATGATCACAGAACTTGGGTAAACTCTGGTTTTTAACTTAGAGGTATCTCAACCTAAAGGCAGTTTTCTTCTTCATCTTTACAACATTGTATCCAGAGGGTTAGAGGTAACCTGGAGGTGGCATATTCTTATGCCACAGTTTTCAGAAATAAAAGAACAAAACAAAAAACAAACCTATTGGATACAAATAATCCTTTATAAACCTGGATGTGGGGACTTGGAAAGTTGCCACATTGGATTATCTAGATCTGTCTCAAAGAACATATAAATATTCCTGGCAGTTCTTTGTCAGGAGTTATTTCCTAATGCTTATACATTCTTTAGTTTTTACTTCCTGGGAGAAATTCAAAACAGTGAGCAGGGAAAATGAAAATGGTTAGAACTAATTGCATATGGACTTTGCCACCAAATGACATGAGAAAACAATAACATTTATCTTTGAATAAAATGAGTATGTGGGCTCATTTGCCTACCCTCAGCTCAGTTTTCATTTTCCTTTCCTCTCAAAATGCCCAGAGGGACCATATTTTTGTTTAATGACCTTCAGAATGATTCTTTAGAAATCTGAGGCTATCAGAGTTGGAAGCAATGCGAAAATAATTGTGGATTATTATTGTATGACGACAGTGGCAGCTGGGCTGTTTTTTCCTCTCTGTTCAGACTTTTCTCTTCATTTTCCCAGAAACCTTATATCCCAAGGTTTAACTCAGAAGCAAATCTTATATAGGTGATAAACCTTGCCAGACATGGTACGTAATATAATTTCAGACAGACCCTTAACTGTTCTTCCGAAAGACCCTAGGGAGTAAAGCAATCTTATATCTATATGTTCTCCATAATATTATTTACTCTCTGAAAATGTGTGTGGGTAGTTGTACTGTACATAAAGCAAGTATATCTCTTAAATATTATACCTCTGAACTTAAGTGCTGGTTTTTGTGTTTTCTTGTCAAAACTCCTGCAAACAGAAGAAAAATTGTTATGGTCAAACACTAATATGAGCATTACTCTCTCAAATCATTTACACACAGACACATCTGAGGCTAGAGAGTCAGCATAGATTCTAACTTTCTGTGAACACTTAGGATGTATTGAGGAGGGTGTGGTTGAACAGGAGTAGATGCAGATACTGTAAATGCTGTAATGAAGAAAGTGGAAAGTGCTTTTTACTATTGTCCAATTACTCTGTCTCACAATTTCTTGCCTCAAGAGAATCATAATTTAGATGATAACATATTTTTGCCTTGATTGTTTAGCACTCCCTCACAGCTATCCCCTATGCCTTCGCTGATGTTTGTATAGTATTTGGTTACCACTTTGGTTGAAAATTTGTGGTAAGTAATAGACAGACTGGGACAGTATGTCAAAGTCGACTGAAGTTGTTGCTAAAGACAATGCCACGTGGTCAAAAATTCTTGAATATTCTTACATAATTTGTTATTGCTTGTCACTCTCTGTAATAGTGTCACTGTCTGCAAAAGTGTTATGCATTCCTTTCTAAGGTAGTCTAATCCCAGTAGTAAGACTTGCTCATATTCCCATCAGAGGAGTAAAACAAATTGACTTCAAAACTCAAACCTATTCTCTGGTCACTGAACATATAAAATAAGTGGATGATTTCTTTCAATGCACATCCTTATTTTTCCCTAGCTGCATTTCTAGAGAATTCTTTTAACCAAATTTTCTAGACCCTTTCTTGTAGCCTCATAATGGATATCTTGACCACAAGGAAGAAGGCTCTGGAGTATTTGTATTAGTTTTACAATAAGGAGGGATTAATGAAAGAATTATAAACTTCCTTGCCAAAGAAAAAGCATTTTATGAATGTTTAATAATGCTTAAGACTCCCCTGGAGTAAGCTAAATATCTAAGTGAACCATATCCTCTTAGGACTTTTAGGAAATACCCATGTCAAGTACAAAAAAAAAAAAAAAAAACAGGACATTATATATTTAGCAACTTTTAAGGTTCTACTCTACATCTCTTACATTTAGGGGACTTGTATACTTTTCTAATTTTGCAGAATGCTTCATAAATCTTCTGGCTATTGGTGCCAGGTATTTCAAGTGGCTCTTAATGTGATGGGTGATGATATTTGAATGAGATAAAATAATATACATTTCTGATGTTGCTTGGTCATTTATTTAACTCCTTAGCTACCTATTTTGAAACTAAAGAGAAGAATGCAAAAAAGTGAAAGCAGTAACTTGCCAGCATGAAAATATAATGATGTGAATATTTATTTTTTATTTACTTACAAATATTTTCTCTTTAGGAATGCAAGCCAAAAATGTGGAGAAGTATAATAATACAGAAAGGAAATGCTCTTCTAATCCAGGAAGTTCAAGAAGAAGATGGAGGAAATTACACATGTGAACTTAAGTATGAAGGGAAACTTGTAAGACGAACAACTGAATTGAAAGTTACAGGTAGGAATTGTTTCTATCAAATACAGCAAATTAAATGCTAAATGTAACTTGGTTTGGGAAGAAAGAGTTTTGTTCAAGGAGGCAACTTTCTGTGAACTTAGAATTGGTTGCAAATCAAATAGTTGGAAAGCATACTATTAATAAATTTCATTGAAAAGTGCTATATGTAGAATATGATTAATTTAAGGATCAAGAGCCTAATGCACACATACATATAACCATATGGTAAGTTTATATGATATTTTAGTGCAACTGTATTTTTCACTCTGACCCATCAGATGATGACAAGTATGGAGTATTCTTTTTGTGGCTTCATATCAGCAATCAAAAAGTTCTGGAGTTTGGAGCATTTAGGATTTCATGTTAGGGATATTCAACCTGTAGTATGTAAATACTTTAAATATATAATAATCTCACTTATATGTAGAATCTGAAAAAAAAGTCGAATATACATCAAGAGAGAGTAGGTGGGGCAGAGAAATAGAAATAGGGAGATGTAGGTCAAAAGGTATATACAAATTTACGATTATGTAGGAGGAATAAGTCTAGTGATTTAACATATAGCATGATGACTAGTTGATACTGTTATAGTGTTTGCTTGAAATTTGCTGAAAGAATAGATTTCAGTACATTTAACACAAAAAAGTGAAAAAATAGCTTTATGAGGTAGATAAGTTAATTTTCTAGACTACAGTAATCAAGTCACCATATATATGTATATTAAAATGTCATGCTGTATACTTCAAATACATATGATTTTAAAACACACATGTGTATGTTTCTATATATACATATACACATTTGTATTTTGGATAAAGTGTGAGCTATGATGAACTTTGAAATTATTCAGACAATTGCAATATTGATTACATTGATTTACTTATGATTAATGTATTTGGGCATTACCTGTTTAATCACCTAATGTTTACATCAACCAGTTAGTTAATTATCATGCCATTGCTAAGGGTAGGGATACATTTTTCTTCTTTATTTCCTTTTTTATGTCTGGAAGATCTCTTGGGGTAGTTTTAAAATCAGTCAACTTGCATTAATACTTGCTGAATTCAGTGCTAAAACCCATATGTGTATTTAAATTTGGGTATTTTTTTGTCCTTTCCAAAATTTTAAGTGAGAGTGTACACACATTTTGTCCACTCTCTATCATAATAAATGACAGTTTTACTTTAGTTTGAATTTGGAGAGCACCTTCTGTGAAAGTTTAAATAGTTCTTTGGATTAGAATTGCTGTTCTTTCCCCCATGGACTTTTATTTTTTTTATTTATTTTTGTTGGTTCTTTTTAGTTATTCATAACAGTAGAATCAATTTTGATATAATTATACAAGCATGGAATACATCTTATTCTAGTTGGGACCCCATTCTTATGGATATACATGATGATGGGATTCACTATGGTGTATTCATATATGTGCATAGGAAAATAATTTCAAATTCATTCTTCTGTCTTCTCTTTTCCTATTTCTTCTTTCTTCCCTTCATCCCCCTTTGTCTAATCCACTGAATATCTATTCACCCCCCCCATTATTGTGGGTTAGCTTTCACACGTCAGATAAAATTTTCAATCTTTTCTTGGGGGGGGGAACTGGCTTATTATACTTATCATGCTAATCACCAGGTCCATCCATTTACTTACAAATGTCATAAAGTCAACTTTTTTATGGCTGAGTAATATTCCATTGTGTATATACACCACAGTTTTTCTTATCCATTCATCTGTTGAAGGGCACCAAGGTGTGTTCCATTCTCATGGGCTTTTAAAAAATAACTATCATATCAATCAGGCCAATTCCAAATTCCAAATATTTGCCTTTGATTAGTTTCTGTTTTCCTCAACATGAACTAGACTTCCTGGACTCATTCATGGTAGAATATTCAATCATAGGCAGTTATACATCATTAATAAGTGACCTGACCATGCTGACCATGCACAAAGGCTATGGCATTGTCACTTTGACTACAATCACCAATACTTATCAGATGCTTGGGAAACACATTCGTTTTGCAATCATTTACTACAGTTTGTAATATTGTAGTATTTGGTTTATGTTTAAATTGAACAATAATAAATTAAACACCAAATCTCCTTTACACTCTGATCTAATAAAATATGATAGCAACAATTTGCATCTTTATTTTTATTTTAGAATCTAGAAAGGCAAATCTAGAGCCATTTTTGTGTATCTTATAAGGCATTGATTTATTTTCTCTAAACTTTTAGTATAATTGAACTGTGGGATTCAAATTTCATCTGGATCCCTTACAGAGGTTCACCCTCTATTTTTTTTTTTTTTTAGATTTTTGGTAAATACTGAGGTTTGAGCCCCTACTGAGCTATATCCCCAGCCCTTTTCATTTAAAATAAATGAGACAGGGTCTTGCTAATTTGCCTAGGATGACCTCAAACTTTTAATCCTCCTACCTAAGCCTTCTGAGTTTCTGGGATGACAGTCATGTGTCATTGTGCCCAACAGGTTCACAAAATTTAATGTACATCAGAGTCATGTGGAGAGACCCAGGAAGGATGAGGAGAAAAATCTTCAAATACAGATTCCCATGTCTTTCTCTCAGATTCTTGTTTAGTACATCAATAAGATAAAGAATTTACTTACCTTTTTGTCTAGGCATTTGTGTATATGCTTTCTAAGAGTGATTCTCTGAGAAACACTAGAAGAAAGAATGGTGCTTTTGATTTCTTGTAAGCATGTTGGTTCACACACATAAAACAATCATATTTCCATAGGCCCCAAATTGTTTCCCTTAAACTTTTAAAAGCTATCATGAATATGATGGTCATTGGTAACCACAGGAAACCTGTCAAGGGATTACGTGGGTAAAGCAACCTCAATCAATGAAAAGTCATTTATTTACCATTCAAATAAAAAATATACTAAGTATATATTACATGCCAAGCAATGAACTAGATACAAGAAAAATTCAAATTTAAGTCATGATTATCTTTGGGTCAATGTTGATTCACATGAGAAATATGAAGTTTAAATATTAATACTTTAAATGTTATGCTTCATGTAGAAACAAAATGGTTTCTTGAAATGGAAGCTAAAGAGGTTGCTGTGTGAAAGCTGATTCTTTTTGCAATGTATGCTATACTGGCTTTTTATGCTGAGTATTATGAAAACAAAATTAAACAGAGTGTCCTCTCATAATTCAGAATATAAAGCTGAGATTATTTAAAGACAAATATTAACTTATTTTGAGTTTAGGAGTATACAGGCATAGGGTAAGAATTTCAATGTGAAATTAATGGGACCTTTTAATTATAAAATTGAATAATATGACATTCTATAATATGGAGTATTGAAAATATACAAGCTTTACAAGATTTTCAGATTTTTAAAGGTTTTTTAAAGGTTATTTTCTGGCTGTTCTCTTAAAATTGATATTTCTGAGAAATATGTCTTTAGTAAAACAAGTGTTCTCTTAAGGTTTATAGTTGATATTTATTTTAAGAAGATCAATTATAAAAAGATCCAGGTATTAAAAACTGTTAAGTTAGAAAGTAACAATGTGCTTTATGAAATTATTCTTTCATAATAAAATAATATGCTGTAGTATTTCCTTAAACAGTTACCTTTTTACTACATTTAAATAGGATTTGCTTTAAATGCAACTTGTCTGGAATACTTTGGTTATATAAATCTTAGTATACCTGTGTGATGTTATTGTGGAAATTTCTTTTTATAGTTTTGGAAGCTGCAGATGAACAGGGAGGCTATAAGAATAAATAGACATGTTTAGGTCATTTGCCAATGATGAATACAGCTGGCAGCTTTATATCCCATGGCATATTTTAGGTAACTATTTGCTATTTTATAGATTTCCCCTGTATTCTCACATTGAATTTGTGCAGAGGGCTAGTTAAAGTGATAAAGAAAGACAGGGGAGTTGGTTAAAACATTGTGAAAATGTAGAGCAGGTGATAATGGAAGGAGGAGGAAAGGAGTGGGAGAACATGAGCAGGGTAATGGAATAGGGTCTCCTGGGATTACAGGACAAGGTCAGCCTTGAGAAGGTCAGTGGTACACATAAATTATGGGGGTGTTAAAAATGAATAAATACAGGAAGCCATCACTAATTAACTTTATCTGGAAGGTAATTCACAGTTCACATGACAAATCTTTCACAAATTCATGCTTTTATGAAGCTTTTTAGAAATGAGCATTGGCTACTTAGAAAAAAATCCCAATAACCTGTTATCTAGTGAATATGCAAATAACACTCTTCCTCTGGATTGTTGTAGATATCTCTAGAGTTCCTGATTGTAGTCTTTTCACATATTGGGAGTAATCCCTTAAACATTGGTGTCTGAATGCTATGACTAGAGGGTTTATTTTATGGATATGCTTCAAAGATTTGATGCTCGGTCACTGTAAAGCAGTGGTAGCATAGCAATCTAGATGTGCAGAACTTGGTAAAACTGTAAAGTAGAATTTGGGATCAGTCTGTGGTGAAGATGTTCAAATGCATGACTTCAGCAAGTGCTTTTAATTTCCACTTTGCAAAGTTTAACAGTGGTGCATTGTTGCAAGTTTCATTTAGACTACATTGTTGTTAGAATAAACTTCCTCTGGTGTGGAAAATAGTAGCAATATACACACAGGGATAAATTTCACATTCATGTTGATGATCATGGTGTTTGTGGTCCTTACTCTTAGTTCCTTTATGCCTCTGCTGTTAATGCTGAAACACTGGGGTGAGAAAAAACATGTACTGTAGTGATATGGTTGAGAGTTGGTGGAATAAATGAAATTTGGTATTTTGATTAAGGATAATACAACAGGGGAAGTGGTCTTTAAGCCAACAATTATATAATAATCATGACCGGGGTACCCAGACAGTTAATGTCTATTTTTAGAGCTCAGTATGTGGTACACATTGTGCTTAGGGTTTTTCATTAATTTTCTCATTTAATATTCACAACAACCATAAGACAGTGGTTATTATTATTGTCCCCATTTTACA